TGCTGAATTTGAACCTTTTTGATTAACTTCTAAAGTATAATTTTTTTGTTTTTATATTTTTCAATATATTTATTTTGTTTGTACAAAATAAAGAAATAACTTTTAATGATACAATAACCACGATTATTATTTAAAATAATTTACATTAGGCTTAACATCGATGAAAATTCAACGCAAAGTGACATGCAACGGAGAAAAATTTTAACATGGGATAGGTTAATATATTTTTCTTATATAATCGGTTATCCGAAAAACCTCAGTCCCCAATTGATTCAGATAAATCACATTCTACTGTATAATTAATGGAATCAAACAGTTTTGCAAGTACATCTTATTGAGATAAAATGATAAAGTGAGAGGTCCTCTCATTTTGGACTGGAACATTATCTGCAAATGGGTGTTGGACAGTAGATACAACTAACTGTCTGAAAATTTCATAGAAATCTGATAATTAGGATCACTTTTGATAGAATAAATATTAAAATTCTAGTCAAGAAAGTAGTAACATAAATCAGTGTTAGGATGATGAAAACTGTCAAGGAGACCTATCGAGTAGGGACAAGGTGTTTCAGGTTTTCAATTGTTGGAACCAGTTTTCTGGAGGGACTCGATTAGTGTGAGTGATCCTGAACAAGTTGAGACAGATATGCAAACTAAGGCCGACTTGAAGGAAAGCTACTGACTTAGCTTCGGATTGGTCGTCCAATGGATCTAAAAATTAAATGTAATGCAACGTGACCATTCGAAGAAGGCAAAACAAACAAAGCATAAGACTATGTTGTTGTTAGCAATCAAGAAATATTGCTATACGCACTGTAAATAGTGTAAAATAAATGTAATTAATCTGAGTTAAATGAGCCATAAGGTGTTCTTTCTGATGGACCACAAATCCAGAATTCAGATGGCACTATTCAAAATTTACTAAACTTTCAACTTGGAGAAAATTTGAGTTAAGGAAATTAAAATTGGAGATGTTAAATCCCTATATTATACCATGTGCTTCAGTTTTTTACAGTTAAAGAAATAATAGAGTTGGACATTTGAATTAAAAAGTTTTACTGTAAAAAACTTATTTCCTGTAATAATAATCAAGCATATTCTAATAATTGCTCATGTAAATAAATTGTTTTAATAATTGAGGCAGAGCAATAGTAAAGCCTCTTCTACATGGCTTACAGAATTGTGTTCATTCTCAAAACATCAATTTTGATTAAACTTTGCCATTTTCCATTAATTTCAATGAGGAATCCAAAAATGTAATAAAAATTGGGGGTCATTGGTCATTTTTGAGATATAAGGTTGTTTCATGAGCGTGCATGAAAAAGCGATGTCCCAAGGTCGCTTAGCATGTCTTCTATGTGGCTTATAGAATTGAGTTCATTCTCAAAATTTGATGGGCCAATTTTAATAAAACCTTGTCATTTTATATTGATTATGATGAAGAATCTAGAAATGTAATAATTTAGAAAATAGGGGTTTGTGATTTCATTTTCAATATAAAGTGGGGGTCAAAGTGACAATGTCTGTGCTCCTTAAGCATGCCTAATGGAATTTAGGGGCCAAATAAAAAAACATCATTGTAATCATCTAACAGAAAATAGGTGCAAAAATGAACAGAACACAATAACAAAGCAATTGGCATAGAATGTTTTAGTTTTGATTTTATTTGTATATGGCACAGGTTCCCAACCTGTGGGTCGCGACGGGCTTTCTGTGGGGTCGCCAACTTATACAGTTAACTAAAACAAAAAAATGTTCACTATAATGCAATTTTTATTTTTAATGGTGTCTTGAAGTTTGAATAATTTGATATACAGTTGATCCCTCTATAACACGGGTTCCTATAGTTCGGATTCCTATATGACGGCGAAAAAATTGCGACGGTGTCCGTACAAACATGGTAAAAAACTCCTATAATTCGGTAAAATGTCATCAGGTAGCCAAACTACTTTCCGCCATCCAGCGCCACGCTATGAAGAGTTTAGGCGAGTAAGTTGAGTTTACTATCGTCTGTACAGTATGTAAATTAGGTACCGTAAGTCTAATACAGTACTGTAATTTTATACATTTCTTGTGAAAGAAACATTTCTTATTCAACGGCCATAAAAATTATTTATATTAATGATGTCTCCAAAGTTCAACGAAGTTTTCGCAGAAAAATAATTTATCAGAAAACGCGGCCGCCGTTTGGTGCGCTGCTCCGCGACGAAAACAAGCTTAAGCAATGGCGACGTCGAACGGTGCACACTCGGTAAGTAATCCTACAATTTTTTGTTTATAGCATAGTTTATACGGATTATTCCCCAAAAAATATACGTATTTTGGAAATGTTGAGTCGAATTAGTCTAGGAATCGATTAATTTTATGGAAGAAAACCTTTCAAACACCCGTAGTCCGTAAACTTCACACGTGTCGGGCTGTGATTGGCAAGGTCTCCTAAAACATTAATTTCATAAAAAACGGAACGTATCTATTGTGTTATAGGGTGGGTCGACTGTATTTTTTAAAAATTAAAATAAGTGTAATCTAGGTACGCTATTCCGTCACAGTTGGTTGAATCATGTGTTGAGAGTTTGAGAGGAATAAATTAAATGTTGAGAATGACATGAGGTTGGCGTCAACAAAAACTCACCCGCGACTTTTAAGGCTGGCTAATAACATACAATTTCAACAATCGCATTAAATCATTAGACATAATTTATGATAAAATTATACTAAAAAACTAATTTCGTTGTTTTTTTTTAATTACATTATTAAAAATGTCTTTTTCAATAGTATTGGGGTCGCGGGTCACTTGGCTTTTATAAAAAGGGGTCGCCACCCGAAAAAGGTTGGGAACCGTTGGTATATGGCAACACAACACACAGGTGATGTGCCAAAAGGGAATAACTCTCGGGAGGTTTTTTTTGGGAAAATAGTCCTTAATTAGGTGTTACTAATGTGAATAAAACCTGGAATACTCCACTTAGCCAACCTATTTGCCAGGCACAAACTCACAACCAACTACCAGTTCAGTAGTTTTATCTACTTAGCCACTGGTGGGCATTGACATCCATTGCTTTGTTCTTGGATTACCTCTCCATGTCAGTAAGTGCAAAGTTCATCTCTGTATACCGGCAATACAAGGACCACTTCTCCTTTGGTCGGCAGGGTGTAAGGATCGCCTCTCCCTTAGCTGGCAGAGTGTGAGGATTACTTCTCTCATGACCAGTGGGTGCAAAGATGCCTCTTTCATAGAGGCAAGTGCAAAGTTTGCCTGTCCATGACCACCAGGTACAAGGATTGCCTTTTCAGTGTCTAACAAATGCAAAGATCACTTCTTTCTTTTCTGTTCCACCTCAATTCTATTGTGATATGACAAGGTCGCACGATGTCCTAGTTACCCCTCTAATTTGTATTGTGAAGTAAACTGCAATGGTTGTCCTAAAAAACAGTATATTAATAAATGTTCATTATTATTAAGTAATTAACCATCAATATAATATTTTCCAATAGCCAAGCCAGTCAGAAAAAATGAATATTTATTAATAGTATCAATGTTTGATATTACTGATATTGGAAAGTTCCTGAATTATCCTAAGTTAATAGAGGTAATTCAAGTACTTCATTCAAATTATTTTTCATATATTTGTCATATTCTAAATTAACTGGTTTTTCCATTAGTTGTTTCATTAGTTTTATAACTCTGTTGGAATCGTGCTTTTTTCCTTCTTACAACATCAATATTGTTGCATTCCAATAACCACCCATCAAAAATAAAAATAAAAATCACCTAGTGGGTAATTACAGGAAATACAGATATTCTAATTCAAATATTTTAACATGTAAAGATACATATATCTTATAACTGAGAAACGCAATTCTGAACATAGTAAATTTGTTAATAAAAAATATGCTATTCAGTAAGATAGTATAAGAGAAAATCTCAAATTTTATTGCTAATAAAATCTGAATATGAAATGATCAATAACTTATCTCGATAGAATTTTACCTACGTGCACTGTCATGGCGGCAGTTTGCGACTGTTCATGCTTCTGACAGATTTCTCCCAAAGAGGAGCCACTGGCAGGCTGCCGATTGTTTAACGCCACTAGTTATTGATTAACAGTAGTTCTTGAACACATGTATAATAACTAATATGTATCAATAAGTCTGTTGGAAGAACAGTCACAACCGCCGCCATGACAGTGAACATAGGTAAAAATTTTACCCTTATCTCTAAAAGTGAACTATTATAATTTTCCCTGGAAATAAATTGTTCAAACAGTTGAAATTTGAATTTAAGCACAGCATTATATTAATTTATCATTCCAAATTAGCATTTTTTACTAAATAAAAAAATAATTTCTAAAATTACTGTATTTATTTCTGATAAAGAGCACATTATAATCTAGCAAATTCAGCTATTATTTCAACTTAGATTTGTCTTAATCAAAATTAGATATTTTAGAAATTATAAATACATATTTTCACCCTAGAATAAAAACAATTCTGCATTTTTTTTACCTAAATCTTTTTGTAATACCAATTTTTACATAAGCTTATGTCAATCTAATACATTATAAATCAAATATGTTAATAAAATTTCAAATTTTATTTGTTTTCAAGATCACTAAGAAAAATTGATTTATAGACTTCCTAAATAATAGAAGTTCAGCAGACATTAATTAAAAACTGGAATTGCTTTCATTTTTTTCTTTTATATCATTACAACCATAGAATTCCAAAATCAGATTAACCTATTTATAAATGAAATAATGGCGTGGAACTATCCATTATACACAAAACTTATAATTTTCTGAAAATGTATTTTTGTAGAATTTTCTTAAATATAAACATAAATGAAAAAGAAAAAGACAATGTTTAATGAAAAGAGTAACGATGAAATCTTCCACAAAGAAATTATCTGTGGTTTTCAGTTATACTGTAGGCTACTAAACTTTTTTGAACCTTGACGTCACACACACGATTTAAAAAACTATAATAAGAGCATAACTTACTCATAACTCCTGAATACTTCGTGTGTCAATTTGCAATAGAACAATTCTTCGTTAGGATCGAGATCATTTGGCGGATCTTTCCTGACAAACAAATGTTTCCCAAGTAATGGCATTCTTCATAAGATTCTAAAACAGTTTAAAATTATAATTTCAATACACATCACCTAAGCCTAATCTTAGGGTTAACTTATTATTTCCGATTTCGGATATTGTGGAAAATATTATTTTAGAATGGATTAATTTTTAATAATCGAGCATTGACTGAATAACATACACTTTATCTCTTAAGAAATTAAATATTTTCTATAACTTTTACAAATTTACACGATTTACAGTGTCGATTCACCCGCTCAAGGCAGGACTGAGTATTGTAGGAGGAGCAATTAGGCAACTTAGTAATTGAGTATTTCGATTGGCTCTATGTGTTTCACGTGACAGGAAACAGTCATTTTGATCAGAGGACTCTAGCGTTGTTTCATTACTATTTCCGTTATACGTAAATTCACAATTTGGAGAATTTAAAAAATAATTCTTAAATAATTTAAAAATATTATTTTAAATACGACGCATGTTATTAATTCAATAAATTTTAAATTACGCAAGGCAATTTTAATTGTATTACTTTAATGTAAGATATTAACGTAGACGGCCGGATGGCCGAGCGGTCAAGATGACAACCTACCGCTCTAGGGAACCCAGATTGATAAATCCACAGAAATTTTTCGAGGAGTCGTTCGTCCGGATATGTAGGGCCCCGTCCCTCACCACTCGCCGCCCCATTGTGGGCCTGACCGAACACATAATGGGCTTGCTAAAAGAGACCCTCTTAGCGCCCACAGGGCGAGAAGAGTTTTAAAAACGTTACCGGTAACACCGGTTACAATTTCCAAACACGCCCTTAGTAACCTTGGTTATATTTAGCGACTTAATAAATTAATCATAAAAATTAAATAGGCCAGTTCTAGCATGTAATATTATTTAATCCCATATGTTGTAATTAAATATTGGATTATTTCACGATGATTTAAAACTTATTTACACGTCCAATTGAAACATATCGGTGTGTCGCTAGTAGTAAATAGAAGACCATGCTTGAAAATGTTGTACGGAACGTTGTCGTTTTTGTATAGAGAGAAGTTCTTTTAGGCACTATCATAGCAACAGTAGCAGTTAATGAAAATATTTCATTATCATTTCACTTTCACTATTCCTCCGTATTAATTCAAAGTTATTTTGACAAAATAAGCCATGTTTGACGAATTCCAACATGGCGCTGTTTGCTTCTGCCATGTTGTCGAGTTGCCAAACGATCCTGTAAAAGCTTGTTAAGCAATGACTTTACTTTCAAACTTCGTTAAAATTTCTTTTTTGATAATATTGAGCATTATATTTAAATTAAATAATTAGCTAAATTTTGCTACAAAATTAGTTTACAGATTAAAATTTTTGTTCCAAATTCTATCCCTCAGTATGAAATTACCAACAGATAATGATGATTGGAATGATTTCTTCGGTTGGGACTTTGAAAATTACCAAGAAATAGATTATTTGGAAATCGTTCTCGATCTTACTGAGGATTGTTTCAACGACAACGATTGTAATTTGCAACAGGTTTCTAAAAACGATGTTTGCTTTCCTTACGATGGAAGCGAGAATAATCTTATAACCTGTGATGAGAAAGTTGATCTGGAAGTTATTAAAGATGGTTTCAATAGGTAAAATTTTTATATTTATTTAATACGTATTTTTATCTCATTTTTGTATTGTTTTTATGTTATGGAAATGAAATAATTTTAATAATATATTATAGAAAAACAAAAGATATTATTTATTATTAAAATTAATAATATTCACTAACATTAATAACGGATTTTATTTATTTTTTTCACAATAAAAATAACATTTTAATTTAATTTTGCTATTTCTTTTATACTTTAATGATAATGTGCAAGTTCTTCATTGAGGATAAATTCGATTTCGACAATGATTATTACCTTTTTTGAACTTACAACTTGTTTCTGTAAAAATTGAAGAGGAAGGTCTAAAGATTTAATTAACACAATATTACGTTTGGTTAATTTAAGAATTTAATATATTCATTAAAGTTGATGTTTTCAGAGAACTTTTTCTATTTGTCGAAAGTTTGTCTGAATGTAGATAGCTGACCTATCTTCAGTAAATTCATGATCTGTTGTTTTGAAATAACCTTTTGCTAACAGATACTGAAGGAGTCAAATAATCTGAAAATTCTTGTTCTGTCTGTCGCACGAATCTCTATTATTAAATGATTTGTATCTCTGATTGTCAGTTAGCATAGAATTTTCATCCTCTGTACCTCCACTATTCTCTGCCCCTCGTGAAGAATATACCTTTTACTTTATCACAGTCAATTACATGAATTGGCAAATTGTAAAACTAGATTCGTCTGAGATAGAATCCTTTACAACTGCTAAGTTGTAGGAATGGCATTACCATTTGGTTCTTGCAAGTTAAGTGGATTAATATATTCTGCATTACTTCTGCCCTGTTCTACACGAATCCAAGGCAAGCCGTACAAGCTTTTTAGTCCTAGGCAGTATATTATATTAATGGCCAACTTGTAAAATGTAAAACCGTCATTGTATGATAGTAAAGTTTTACACTACTTTTAACACTGTTACTATAGATGAAGGTGTTAATCTTGAATTAATAATGATAACTATATCTTATTAATAGTTTCAATTTATTTACATTTTTCATTTTGATACAATAGGATAATCGAGGATACGACATCCAATGTGCATGTCAATCAATCAATGGACCATGCACCAAAGAAGGAAAAATTCTGAAAATTGAAGAAATTTTTCAGATTCTTCTTTTGGTATGTATCTTTAACTTGTATGTATAAATGCATACATAGCGAATTGTGTACGATTATTAATGTGTGCATAGCGAACAAGCATATAAATGAATATGCTTGTTCGCTATTCACACATAGGCCGTTCGACAAATTGATATGAAATTCGGCAGTTATGTTAACATACTTCTAACTTAGATAATGTCGTACATACCACCCCGAAATATTGATTGGATTTCTAATTATCAATTAATTTGTGTATACATTCGATTCAAACCCACGACCAACTACTAGTCTTCGGTGATTTTATACAGATGTAAATAGTATAAGTCTAAACCAGTGTTTAAAGAACACATTTTTAGTGAATTAGTTAACTGATTTAAATTATGTATGCGTTGCCTTCTGAAACAAAATCCGTCGGGTTGTAGTCTAGCGACACTGCGAAATCAATAGCATAAATGAATGAAGAGAATGATTAGGCTATTCAGTAACTTTATGTGATGTGAATATGAATTGACATTTATATAATTGGATACATTATAAATCACACGTCGCAGCGTCTCTTGATTGCTTACAGTCAATGCCTCCCTACATTTTCGGTGTTCTGCAGCTTGAACTGTTACGGAGCCTCTCCGAAACTAGCAACAAAGGGGCCCCCGTAACAGTTCAAGCTGTAGAATATCGAAAATGTAGTTGCTTCTGGCTCATCTGGGATTAGAAACCCTAAAGCATAAGCTTCGTTAGTTTCATAGTAGATCTACCATAACACAATTACGGTACAATCGTACACATTTGTATCTTAGAACAACATAAAGTTATTGATTCAAAAATTATTTAAATAATTGAATATTTTAGATGAAAATCTTAATTATTTTTATTTTATTTTTACAGAATACAGAAGAATTTCAGAGATTTTTATCTCTGTACATAGTTATTTTGTGATTATTTATTTCTTCATTCGTTTTAAATTTTATTTTCATTACTTTATTCGTATTTTTTTCTTATTTTTATTTTAAAATATTCAAAGAAATAAGAAAAAATTATTAAAATTTAAAAATAAAAAAAATTTAAAGTTACAATTAAAAAAACTTTAAGATTTAACATTTAAAAAAAAACATTATTTTATTAAAAGTCAATAAAAATCAAAATGAATTGAAATATAAAATCTCAAACTTCAATTGTGACTTTCCTACGTTGACATTTTTCCTGATTGTGACTCCACGAATTTTGACTTGTTTTATCAATTCTGACTTCACGAATTTTGACACTTCACGATTATGACTCCAAGAATTTCGACTGTTTTTTTTATCAATTGTGTCTCCAATTTTGACACTTCCCGATTGTGTCTCCAAGAATTTCAATCCTCCTCTAATATAATGCATTCAAAAAAAGTTTGAGATAATATGTAATATAAATGTAATTAAAATCATTCTATCTATAAAAAATTTTGGATTTTTGTAAAATTAATAAAAGTTATTTCAAAACACAAAAAATTTGTCTTTTTTGCTGTTTTTCAAAATTAAAATGAATATTAAATTCAATTAAAATTGGTATATTTATTTTCTCGAATAATCCGCGCAGTGGAGGTTTTAGATTGTGCAAGGCCCTAGATGAGAGTTAACTTACGAGACTTTTCTCATATAAGGCCGAGTGGTGAGGCGTTGCCCGACATATTCGGGTCAGGCCGCTCACGAATAACTTCTGGAATTGTTCGCTCAGCTTCGATTCCGACTCCCAGATCGATAACTGACACCTTAAATGATATAAAATTTTAGTTTTATGAGTTTTATTTCTCCAATTGACAATAATACATTTCCAAAAAAAGAGAGTAAAAAACAATACAGGTATTTGTTCCAACTTTAGAGTAAAGACGTTAGACGGTTCTAACTAGAAGTAGAGGAATAGAGGATTGATTTGCCCGCGCGTATTGGAGAAAGCATTTCAACACTAGAAATAAATTCGATTTTATATCGAAAATATACTGAAAGTGTTGAATCAAAATGATAATCTTATTCTGGTCTGAATTATGAAAAAAAAATTATATATTTAATAACATTAACATCGACGGTTGAATGGACGAGCAGTTAAAGTGGCAGCTACCGACCTGCGGGTCTCGGGTTCGTATCTGGATGGATCGAAAACCACCAGGGATTTTTCGGTACTATCTGTCCGGATATGTTGAACCTCCTCATTCAACCGTCCCACTGTGGGCTTGGCCAAACCCATAATGGATTTGCTAAAACGGCCCTTTTAGTGCACACATGGTGGAAGAAGTGAAAAAACTAATAATAATATTTAAATTTGTATTATAGTGTCTGTAATTATAAAAGTATGAATGTGCTATGATAAAGTATTTATAATTATATTTTAAATCACAAATTTTTCTGGGTAAATAATCTGGGTTTTTAAACTCCCCATCTGGTTTTTCCTATCCAGACCAAAGTTTTTCATATGTCGCGAGTGGCATCCCTGCCCACAACAGAATGTTCGGGTGGTGAGGGACGGGGACCCCTCACCTCCAAAAAATTCCTAGGGTTCCTAGGTCAACCCATCCGGTTTTGTTTCCGAATTCCCCAGAGCCGTGATACCTTAGTCTCTCGGCCATCCGGCCCACATATTTCTTTGATTATTTACGTGTATATAATTGAATTCACGTCTGTCTGTTCGGGTATTACGTGAGAACGAGTGAACCGATTTGTAGAAAACTTCGTACATATATTCAGTATAGCCCTCGGAAAGATATAGGCTATACTTTCAAATTTTCCTCTCTCTGCAATCTGTCTGATCGAGTATCAAGTGAGAACGGAACCGTGTTTAGTAATGCCGAATGCTAAGTAAAAAGTCTGAGTGACTAGGAGGGCGAAGCTAACAAGTGTTCTAAGAATCCTTGAACGGTTGCTGAGTTAGCAAGTTAGACAGATCGTGTGTAAAAATAGTGGATGACGTAATAATTATTTTATAAAATAAATTACCATAATTATAATAATTTTATGACCATTATAAAAAAATATATTTAGTATCCGACGAGAACAAAAACAATACGTTACTAATAGAAGTAAAACCTCTATAGTAGAAGTTAAGGTTAGTTCACACTGAGCGAATAGTGAAAGCGAATGAGAAAAGCGAAAAGCGATTTTTATTCACCTAGCGAAACTGAACCGCGCAACCAAAAGCGAAAAGCCATTGTGAATTTTAAGCAGCCAATCATTTGCAAGCAAGAGAAAAACGTCATCTCGACAAACAAAATGGCCGCTTCCAATATTCCGTAGTTAACCAAGTTTGTTTATTTATTGAGAAAGAAAGATACGTCAAAAAGAAAACGATGTTGTGTGAGAGGAATATAAAAATTCCGTGAATTACACTATTGCGTGAGAAAGTTTCTACTATAGCCGTGTTGAAAACAACAAGAACTACAGTACGTGACAATTAACAGAAATACGATTGGTGGCGAAGTTTTTTCGCTAGCGAAAAAGCTCGACAGTTCCGAACTTCGATTCGCGAAATGGTAAAATTCGCCGGAAACGACATGTCTGGCGTGTTATTCGTTCTGTTTTTCGCTTTCGCCAGCGAATCGCGCTCAGTGTGAATTAACCTTTATGCAGAATTCTGCGATACACGGTTCAAGTAAATCTTTCTCAGGGTGCAGAATATATGTAAAGTAAATTTCGATGTAAATTTGTTTTTAGTCGGATCTATTATATTACAAATTTATTATAAGTACATATTTCTTCCGCATATACATTTTTATATGTGTATACTTTTATGAGTATATTACCTTTACCTAATATCATTTTTCCATGCAAATGTACTAGGCACATTTGGAAAGTAAAGATACAAGTCCAGCAGAAATCCGAAGAAAATTATTTTCTTATAGCTTGTTGTTCTACCAAGTCAAATGACAAAAGTCATTTTAATTATATCATCGTTATACTTACAGTGTGTGTTTAAAACGGCTGTTTAAATTTGTAGTCTCGCGAGGTTCGTTCAGTGATTCGATTCTTTTGCACGAAAAAAACCTGCAGCCGCAGCCGAAATTCATGGACAACTTATTTCCGTGTGACATAAGTTACATTAAATGTTGCTGTTTTTTGATATAAGTGTAATGATTAAGGTTTAATGTTTTCAACCTTTTACATAATATATGCAATAAACGCATATTCTAACGTGCAACTGGACACAAAATGTGTAATATGAATTTTGAATTGTGCAGTGAGAATTCCAAATTTGTGCAGTAATTAATTGTCCGATTCTGAGTTTTATGAGTATTTCTTTCTTTTAGTTATGTTAAAGTTAAAATATTTACCTAAATTAGAGTGTTTGGTAAGATTTGTCATAACGGAACCTGAATAAAAAAGTAATTATCCTAAACGGAAAAAATTTTCAGAATAAAGCGATTTTCTATGTTAGAAAAAGATTCTGTTCAAAACGGAAACTTCCCAAACCAGAAAAAAACACTCGGTATCGTGCAATTGTCGTCTGCACAGGTCTTACTATATACAGTATTTTATTCGGACCAGGAAAAAAAGAACTATGGAATGTTGTAGGATTTATCATTTGTTTGAAATATATACAATAGATATATTTTTATTTAGCAGCACATGTTAAACCAGGGGTGTCCAACCTTTTTGTTCCTCTGGGCCACATTAGAAGAAGTTATGGAGTTTTGGGCCACAAGTATATATAATATATTTGTAACCCAATCTAGATTAACTTGTCTAGATTATAGTAATAAGTATTAAAACTTTATAACGAAAAAGGATATTTTAAAAAATTACTTCTACAGACCCTTTCAATTTTTACTTAGAAATAAATAAATTCATTTATTATAAAGAAGACAAAGAAGAATTTATTTGAAAAGCACAAATATTTATTTTATTTGGGTCTCTAGCTCATAAAAAACGACGAAACACCAATTTAAAGTGAATTTTTATTCGACAAATATATTTATAAATAATATGTAGCCCAGAAAGTAGCCAATGCGCGAAATTATAATTTTTACGCCAAACTAAACAAAGGGTAGCCAACTTTGGCGCAAAGTAGCCAAATCTTGCAATGCTGGAAAGAATACTAAATAATGCTGAAGTTGGAACTTAAAGGATTATAGACCCAAATTTGTAAAAAAGGAGAGAAAGGCCAAAAGATAAAAAGTAGTGAGGAAGGTTGGAAAATTAAGGGTCAATATTGGCATAACAGAAGGTCTACTTAACCTTTCTCACTACTATTTATCTTTTGGCCTTTCTCTCCTTTTCTCAAATTTGGGTCTATAATCCTTTGAGTCACAACTTCAGCTTTATTTAGTATTCCTTCGTCATTCACTCATCTCCAAATATTTGAAAATATTTCCTTTTCACTCAAAAATAAAATATGTATAAAAGTTTATGGCTTTGTGAAACTTCTTTTTTGAGTTTATGCCGTTGAAATAAATAAATAAAAAATAAATAAAACAATTTGTCGGTTTTGTTTACACGTTTATTGGGCCGCACTGGAACTTGTCTTGGGCCGCATTGGACACCCCTGTGTTAAACTATAATCTACAACCACAGCGCACTTATCGTAGGCTATAGTAAATATTTTCACTTGCAGGCGCACAGTGCACATTGCACATGTTTAACGATTAAGATTAAACGATGATTGAAATTTGAATTCCCGTCGGATGAAAAAAATTTTTTTAAAACAAATAAAAGACACAGTCGTTCTAAAAATTCTCAGACAATCACTATTTTATTTTCTTCAATGTTCTAGAACAAACTATAAACAGCCAGACCTTCCTTTTTAGGCTACTCAGCCGCATAGTTAAAAAGTTCCTTAAAAACACAGAAATCCAATTAAAATCAAATAGATTAATTGATTTGTTTTTTGAAACCGTGTCCTGTTTTATATTTGTGGCGTAGTAAACACTAGTATTGTGTTTTATTCCAAAGACACATGACTCAACTAATAAAGGAATTTGATGGAAAATTTGCCATGTGTCTTTGGAATAAAACACAATACTAGTATTTACTACGCCATAAATAGATTAAACTAAAAATTAAAAATTGAACAGCTGAGTATAACTCTCTGGCTGTCTATAGTTTGTTCTGGAACATTGAAGAAAATAAAATGGTGATCGTCTGAGAATTTTTAGAACGACTGTCTTTTATTTTTTTTAAAAAAAATGATTGAAATTAATAAATAATTATATGATTTGTGTTATTGTCTTTATTTTTCATTTGTCTTTTAGAACAGCTTATTAATGCTAGGATTTATCGGCTTGGCCGAAACAAAACTGTTATTTGTGCAATAGTAGTGTATATGAATAGTACTGTATATGATATGACACCTGTGAAAGAAAAACTATAGGTACATTCAGTATGTTTATTTTCAATGGTGTATGATAGTTTTATGGAGCTCAGGCGAATTTGAATTAGGGAGTCCTGTGTACAGTGTTGACTTCAGACATTTTTCTTCCGGAGAATTTTTTTGGAAAAATATTTTCTTATAAACGATTGGTTTGGAATCCCCTATTGATGGAGATACAGGCGATTGCCCTTTTTTATCCATAGGATAAAGTGCCACTATTTATTTTATAATGAAAACTTTATGTGAAAAATTTATTTGAAAAATTTATGCATGCTCGTAGACTTAGGCTATACAAATAATGAAATCAGTAATAATGTGTAGTTAGCGAGCAATTATTTGTTGTGACATAGTCACAGTGCTGGGCTGCAATTTTTTGTCATTATATTCTTAAACTTTTAATAGTCTTGCCCTTCTACAACATACTTTTCCTGTTAGCAAGAAAGTCGTGACGGTCATCTAAAAACCTCCGTTCAAGGAAAAATTTTGAATTGAAATAACGTTACTTCCAGTCTATTTCAAAAATTCGTATACAGTTAATCTAGTTCTCCTGTCCCTAAGCTTTCCATGTCTGTTCTCAACTTTTACCTATATAACTCCGTTCTCGAGATTAAGGACGACGGACGGTCAGCCAACAGACGGACAACAATGGGAATTTATAGGTCAACAAATTTTTGAAAGTGCAGTCCAATTATTCATCTATGAAGTGAAGCGATAACAAAAACTCAATAAGCTATATCTATGTCTGTATATATAAAGAAATAAGTATCAAAAAATGTCATGTAGCCATTCAGTGTAGACGAGTTCAGAAAATAAAACCAGATATCAGTATTCGTGTGTTCCAAAATTCATCAGTGAAACAACCATTGGTGACGCCCAGGTGATGTCACAATGAGCACTGATGAAGATGAGAATAAGAACAATAGTACATGATAACAGAGTTGAATAAACATAATTGACTCTCGAGTACAAACAATCATTCCTTGTAGTCACTCATCATTCCTTTTTAATGTAGTGCATTAATTACAGATTTTATAAATAACACGAAGTTCTGAAAGTGATGAAGTGTTTACTCGTTTGAAACTTTTACCCAAATTACCACAGAAAATTCCCCACGTGTCAAATGCATACACTTCATGCCATTAAGCCGCCAATAAGTATAGAACATTTTTACAAAAATCGTATTAATTATGGACTTTAAAACATTTAACTGAAATCGATTTTATTTATTTGAATTTATTGTATGACAATTAAAGTAATTTATAATTTCGTCGATCATTTTTATCTCCGTTAAGTGATAGAAAAATACTTTTTCAAATGCTTATATTTTTATTCGGTTTTACGAAATATTCTAGAGAATTTGGACAAGATTCAACTCTTTTTATCTTCTTTATTTTAGCTGCAATAATATCAATTTTGTAATTGCTTGAATGAAATGAAACGAATAAAACCAACATAAATTAATTTGGCATTCACCTTTTCCTGGTATTTCTATATTTTTTTTACTCTCATTCTCAATAATTGGATAAGTAATCTGTAGACATGATAAAGATGCTGTTTTTCCTAAAAAGTAAAGTGTTTATTTATTTTATTATTTTATAAGGTAAAATTTAGTGTTATCTATCCTACCTAATTTATCTTCTAGAGTGAGTTCGCAGGTTGGCGTCGATAATCGTTCCCTATTGTAAGGACTCAAAAAATTATGCTTGATGGCATATTTCACAGGTAATCTGTTTTCTGGGTCTTCTCTCAAAAACGAATATAGAAAGGCATAGCAATTTCGAATATCTCGTTTAGTAAATATTGTAGTTGGATAAGAACTTTGTAGAATATATTGGAAGTAAGCGGGTTTTCTTGTGATCAAGTTTAGAGTATCTCCAACTTCGATCTTCCACAATCTCCAGTTGGATAAATGAGAATTACACTGCCATCGGATCGGATCTAGATTTAATTTTTGAGCCGTTATGGCTTGTAGCGATATAATTCCATAAGCCCATAAATCGAGGTGAGACGCTACAAATTCCTTTTTTCCAATTTGATTTTCTTCATACCAGCATAGTTCTGGAGGTCTATATACTGTTTTCATTCCCACTTCATCTATTTTAATAATTTTGTTCTTGCTATTCAAATGTTCGAAATCGGATAGCCGAATATTGCCACGGTCAGTTATCAATTGATTCTCTAAATTCAAATTTAGATGGTGAAGATTCCGAACGTGAAGATAATCCAAAGCAGATAAAATTTGGTAGAGCCACTTTTTTACTGTTAAAAATCCGCCGAATAGATTTCTAGTTCTCTCTGGATGCAACTGCTCAGCCATGGTGCTTTCAGTGTAAGGCATAAGAAATATTCGAATTCTCTGATCATATCGAAAGATGTTGTAAAGAGGGAGGATATTTGGATGAAAAAGATTCGGCCATTCGACTATTTCTTCTGTTCGTTTAACACTTGTAGATGGTGAAATCTTCACTCTCATTTTGCGTTTGCGATCCGGGTCGAAAACGACGAATATGGTATGTTGTCCCTCGTCACAAATGAATTCACATTTCCATTTAAACTTTTTATAAAGTGTGTTTATTGTCGACTTATAAAGAATATTGTCTTCGGCAGATCCCATGTTTAAAAAATAAAACAATAATGCAAACTGTAATAAAGAGTGACAATTATATTTTAACAATTAATTTAAAAAAAATTTATTTATATTAAATACATTCAATGATAGTTAACTAAACTGTTCTAAAATAAATAAATGAATGTTTATGTGTTAGGCTCAAACACCGAAATCGCTCATTGAACGAAAAAAACGACCACAACGCGTTGTGGTTAACTCAAAACGACCACAAAGATAAAATTCGCGTCGTGGCTTTCATGATATTTGACCACTACGCGTTGTGGTGATTAAGAAAAGCCATAACGCGTTCTGAACGTTAGCTGATGCAACCACGATACGAAGAATAAGTTATAACTTGCAAACACTTGCGGAGTTTGTATTGTCTTGACCAGTGCTGCCGTTTCTACGGTAATTACCCTTTTCTAGAGTAATTTTAATCTCTCAGAGTAATGTTTCGGGTAGTCTAGGGTAAATCTAGGGTAAAACTACCCTGTGTTCTGATGCTATTACTTATCGCTCCACAAGTTTTGCTAGAAAAAGTTTAGCCTAAAACCATTCTGTTATTCCCTATAACTGGAGGGTTTTAGGATAGGACAACAGAAGGTAAAGAAATAATGCAGATTGATGCTAGGTACTGTACATCGGTGTACACTGTACAGTGATTCTTCGGTTTTCGTCGATAATCCGTCCGAAAACAATCGGCGAAATCCGAAACCGACGATAACCGAAGTAAACGAAAACCGAGGTATTACTGTATATTACACCCGAGTAGGATTTCGCTTTTCTCAACCTTCATGCCATTGAGCCATTGGCCCTCTCCATATCAGATATAAATTAATACCTCTGATAAAGCCTAAAAATCCTAAGACATTTTAGTTATTAAAATTTTCAAAAACAGTAAGAATTGTTCTGATTATTATTTCACAATAATAGTACAGGGATCCGCGTCATAGAATCGTTTGACTTTTTTTTTATTCGAGCTTGAGCACGAGCTCGGAGAGTTTTCTCAGTTTAGAGTAATTTTCTGCAGTTGAAATTGGTTCGATTGTTTTAGTTAGGGTGCCTAATGTTGATAGGGGACGTGCAGCTCCCACAAATGTTTTAGCTGTTGTTATGAGTGTTATGAGCATTAATCCATCAGGTCTCTGTCTGTTAGGAAACAAGGAAAGTCTTCTTGATCGACTTTATGCTCGTAATGAAATTACAATTTCAACAGTAACTTTATTAACATTCAAAATGCACTCTCAACTTTATTAACACTGTACTTGTTTGTCATCTGTACTTTTTTTTTTTTGTTAATTTAATTACTTACGTTACTCCTACCCAAGTCTCCCTAGTCCCTAACTGTAACTGATTTAGAACAGGCATGCACTGCACGTTATTCGTCGCATTGCAAAATGACATTGCGCATGCGTCAGGAACTCTTGTTCGAACAAACCTCACCTGCCGTCCGGGTCAGCGATTTTGAAAAGGTGGCAACACTGTAATCCACTAATTCAGCAATGTCTTCCACTTCAACATCTAAATTAAGCGCATTGGCAAAGCCCGCAATTGTTTAAATTACATCAAACTGACTAAAAAAGTCCATAGCAAACCTGTACTACGGTCAGTGAGCATGTCACCAATCGCCACTGATCGACATTCAAGCTGAGAAAGGGGATTTCACGAATTGCAGGTCGAAACTCGATTGGTCGTAAGTGCGAGTGGTCGTTAAGCAGATTTCCACTGCAATTCCTACTCCATTTACCGCCTTATCACCTCCAGAAAAAAAATGCTTATTGAAATAGTCTACAGTAGTTTTCAGTTGCCACAATATTATTGAAAACGTTGTAAAATCCGGTCTTCAGAATGATAGCTAAAAGTATTTATCGATGAAAGATTTAATGCAAAAATGATCAGTTAGGTATGATTGAACATTGTTCAAGTTCAAGTTTAATCTGTTTAAGTTTACAATATACATTGAACAGAGTTTCATTTCGCATCACATATCAAAATGCTTAAAAACACTTCATAAACATGATTTACATTGTATATTTTATCATTTGATATAATCGTTAAATCTGTAATTTTTTGAGAAGAAAATATTACTAAGAATGTAAAATATTTTAACAGTATTAACCAAAATAAAATGTAGCTTAAAATAGAAGGCACCTTTCGAAAGATTTTTTTGCCATTTGGATAATGACTTTCTTATAAGTTTTACGTTACAAATACAAACATTATCGAGTCACTTAACAGAACATCGCTTAAGAAAGTCCTTTCCCATGTTCCTAATTTTCTCCCCTATGCTTTACATTATCGGGACATTTCCGTTAACAGAGTACCGGACAGTGGTGCAATTTGTTTAAACGGGGGCCATGTTGGCGGCATTTTTAGAGTCCGCGTAAAGGAGCACTATTCTAAAAAAAGTTCATAAGGATCTACTTTAATCTTATGTTTAATAATAAACAGGTTTTATTGGACACAGATATGAAAAGCAATTACATATTAAAATATAATCATAAATAATGTAAGACGATGGTCGTTAAATTGAGTGTAAGTTAAACTCTCAATATCACGAGTAAGTGCGACTTTTTTATCTTTAGTGTTTCAGTTTGAAATATGATTTTAATGATTAATCAAGCGTTTTAAGATTTATAGAGCATTTCGATACTTTTCAATGAATGTGGACTAGAACTTCAGACATTAATTAATTTTGCTCTTTTCACTGTAAAATTTATCAAATTTAAGAGTTTGGCATGAAATTAGTATATGCGAATATAATCTATTTATATATATTTTTTTATATACATTTTAAATACAGAAATATATTTTATGGCAGATAAAATTTCCTGTTGTAATAAAATTTATTAGTTAATTTTACGTTAAAAGGAAAAGGTAAAGTTACTTGTAGCTAGAAAATATCAAGTAGTAAAGTCTTCGATTAAGACTCGATTCAAAAAACTAAGATTTAATATCTTATCCTAAGTTTAATTAGTTAATTATATTCATTAAAATTTTTAAATTTATAGAAAAATATGCTGAAATAATATTTTAATTATTTTGGATTTTAATATAAATTGAAAGTAATTCTTGATTAAAATAAGAAATGCGGATCGATTTGTCGAATCACGATAGAAATTTTACGTGTTTTACGCTTAAAACCATTAATTTAGTTGGCATTTCAGAAACCAGATGGCATTAATAAACAAACGGGATGTTAAATATCGAAGGATATACGACCGGTAAATCAGAAGGGAAGTAAGATCGTTTCGATAGAGAAGTTAAAATAGCTAATGGCTTCCACTCTTTATCAATTATTTATTATAATATTGGAATGTTTAATAAACACGTAATACGTCGAATGAAAGAAGGTAAATATATTTCTGGATTTAGTTATTATAACTCATAATTCAGCTTTAATTAGATGAAAAGTGATTTTAAAACAATTGCATTTAATAGCATTAAGTGATAGATATAGGTCGCTCTTTTAATTTCATTGCTTTATATAATCGTCGTTATTAAACTATCGTCAAGTAAATAGAATAAGAGTTTATTTTGCTTAAAAAAATACACGAGAAACGTAATTATATAAAGTTTCTCGTTTTTAATATTTTTTCTGCATGTTAATCGATTTAATTGAATTATGCGAGTTAATGTCTTCACACGTAAATCCTGTTTCGAAGAAACAAAACAATAAAAATTCGTAAAAAAATCCATAATTTATTCAAGCGTTTATTTAAAATATTTTAGAAAAAAATTAACGTTTATTTCACTATTAAAAACGGTTTTGAATTTATTTATAGAGCATAAAATTTTTCTAATCTGTTTCCTCAAGTTAACTTCTCGATCGACCTTACTAGATTTACCTAGACTCGCTTTCTTCTAAAAGTTTCGCAATATGAATTTTTCGGTCTTTTCTGAATTTCGTTGTCGATGAAAAAGTCGAGGAAAACTATACTATAATCTAAACATTAATTGAATTATTTGTTTATCGAATCCCTGTTTAAAATGCCAACTGTATATAAACGTATAGTTAAATCGTTAACTAAATTATAAATAATGAAATACTTGAATCAATCTTTAGTAAATATATACACAGTACATAGTTGTCAAGCAGTAAAAGTTTATTTATACAAATAGAAAAGCAAAGAACAAACTTTGTTTTCGTTTAAGTTCTGTGAATAGATCGATTTAAATAATTAAATTTCCTGGTAATGAGAGAACTCATCGAAGACCAATTAAACTTTCTATAATTTATTTCTATACTTTAAAAAATCAAGAAATTTCGAGAAATCTAATTGAAATAATGATATTCAATACTTCTTACTATCTAAAATGTTTTTAATTTTTTTTTTGTTTTTATATTAATTATACTATCGAAAATTTATAGATTTAGAATATAAAATGTTAAATGAGTCGATCCCTCGAATGAAAAACAGTATTAAAGACGTGATAGAAGGTTTCTATCGACAATTGAAACACTTCTTTAGTTTTTCCAAATGAAAGCTCATTTGGGACATAAAAATAGAGGATAGCACTCTAACCTACTTAATTTTCCCGAAAACATTATTGGTTATATTATGTAGGTTTCAATCTTCGATAATTTTGTATTCTTTCTGGTGACATTTTAATTTGGTAAGTAAACTGTTTTGACAGGCAAGTTTATAATGGGTTAGTTGTTTAAAATATTTCTTCGAAGTAAACAATCTTTAATATTATTTAATGAAAATAATATTTTAATAAATTATCAAATTAATGCGTAAAGAACCGAATTATTAGAAATTTTAATGTTTATTGTAAAACAAATTTAACGACTTGATTCAATACAGTACGGTATAATTTACATTTTAAATTTTTAAAAGAACAATGAGAATGTTTTAGTACGAATTTTTATTATTTATTTTAAATTAATAAACAATTTGAAAGTTAAATATTTTGAATTATTTTTTAAAACATTACCTAAATGGCAATATTTTGTTTCAGTAGATTATTTTGGATAATATTTTGGAGAAGTTTAAATTTCTCTCGCATTTTTCTATTGAATAATTACATTATTAACATTATAATTAACTAAAAATTAAAAAGAGATTATGTGAATAAACAATTTCTTTTAGTTTATTTCAGTACAAATGACATTTTGATATTAAATAAGATGAAAAAAAAATTATCATTAAGTTAAGCGTAAGGTATGGACTGCTAATAAGAGAATATTTTTATGTTATTAAATAAAAAAAGCGGCTGTACAAATGTATAGTATTGAAATACAAAGGGTGTTGTCGAATTTGTCCATCACTTTTATATAGCAGATGGTGGTTTATTTATTTTTCGTTGATGCACGATTTGTTAGAAGATAAACATTTGCAGATGAACACTATATTTATTTCCAGTTCTAGCATATCAAGAATGAGTTTTACACGAATTTGTTTCCAATAAAACTAAAACAAACTCGATAGTTTTATTTTCTAAATATCACGTAAATTCGTAAACTAAGTTTTAATATAAATTTGTATCTTACAATTTTATTGTTTTTTTTCTTTTTTAAAAATAAATCCATTAGTCGAAAATGAATTTATAACAATAACTTTTAAATATACAAAGAATAAAAAACACCTTTTTTTTAATAAAAACAATTACAAATTTTTACACTTGAATTAATAGGAAAAAATAAAATAAAACATAAAGATAATACTTTTAAAATTGTGAAAAAAATAACCTTTGCTAATTTTCCTTCTATTGTAGATGAAGGGAAAAACTTTTTACGTTAGATAATTATTATTACTAGAATTTGCAGCTTGTGATTTTTAAAAAGGAAGTAATGGAATGTCATTTATTAGATAAATCTAAATTCTAAATAGGAATTCTAAATAAATCCAGTCTCTCACTATCCGATTGTCTCTACTGTTGGTCTAGCCCAGTGTTTTTCAACCT